CATCTGCTATTGTTTTAATCAAAACATATTATGCTTGAAAAATGTTCGCTTCTTACTCTATTACTTTACATGTAATAATATAAGACTTTATACGACATGTATTTCCGTCCATTTCGGCACTGCTGTCAGGCCTGTAGGCACTGAAGCCGAGACAAGTGCGATATTATGTATATTACCTCATCAACCCTTTACACAATTCAACATTAGTTTACATTAAATATTATCTACAGCTGGATGTAAACAGTTAAAACCTGGAGATATCGGTTCCACTGCTAAACGTAATATAAATGAATAGAAAACTGGGGACTGTGATGATCAACTAAACGCTTTCACGGGTATTTGTGTAAGGAATATGAGGCACCGGGCGTGAGGAAATTATTGAATCTGCATACCTTGTTGGTTATTTGAACCCCTTGCATGTTTTGTGTTACTCGTATGATGTTTGCCTAAATATTCTACTTTCCCTCTGTCAAATAGTACCATAGTATCACCGGTGTTGCCTCACTCCTTTTTATTTTACGAAGCAGTGCGGCAATTTATTTTCAGACTATTCAAAACTAGCATGGACTATAATTTTTGCCACAAGCTAGATGTAATACGAAGATGTAGAATGTAGATTAAACAAAGTTTAAAAAATATTTGTATGTTTGTTAAAAAACAAATAATGATTTTAAAAAAAACAAAACAAAACAAAAAAAAAAAAAACTTTAATGTGACAGATTGGGACGTTGGGTGACATTTTATAAGACATTGTGGTTTTGGAACACAATACAGCCAGAGGCTTGAATAAATTATGTCGGCGTAAACACATACTTTTGTGTAACAATTTTTACAAGACGCGTAAATGGTTTGAGAAATGGGTCAGTAGTCACCGTCACTGACAATTTTATATAACCTAATCTTTAACTGGCAGTTAGCGATTGGGAAACACATTAACATAACATAACTTTTAATAAAGAGAATACGTGACATCTATTATACAAATCTATATGAAAGACAAGCCAACGTATCCACCGCCTTAAATATATGGCATACATTTTAAGCTACTTGCACATTTATAGTTCAGAAAATTTTTGACATGTAGAGCGATTACATACTTTCAAAACAGGTGTAAAACAGGATTCATTTCTTTGAAGAAGCAAAGTAACTTTTAAAATTCCAAATCCCGGACCTCCACAGCTTTGAATAAACCAGCATGTGGACGTTTGAGTCCACTGCATACGTTTCATACGCTGGCTTCCAGTCGTTTTAACAAGTCTTCGAATGCTGTCATCAAAGGTGGAATTCCAGAGTTCCAGACCACACACTTCATGGGGCCCCAATGGTAAAGACAACACCCATCTAAAGTGTGGTAGTTTTAGATTTTTTAGAATTCCATCCTACATCACTGACAGAAAGTAACAAAGCGGAAAATCTCGACGAAACTTCTCGGCCAGTATGAGAGCACTCTACCCACTATGCCACCCCGATTCCCTAGATGGAGATATGGAGTGCCCGAAAAATTATTTCCGTCGTGGCATCCAATGCCGAAGGCACAAAATAGTACGTTCGGGATGGGGGGGGGGGGGGTCTCTACCAGATAATTTTGAACTTTCCGTCAACAAGCAATCCGTGACGTCATTTTAGCCCTTCTGCACATAGAAATATAGACTAGAATATGAGCAGAAGGACTAAAATTAAAATGATGTTTATTTACGGAAAGTAACGACTACCCACGGAGAATGGCGGAAAATACTAATGTTGAAATTTACCTGTCGTTGGTAATATTAACATTCGGGTTCGTGTTATACTTATGGAAAGGATATATTGACATAATTACTTGCATTATTTAAAAAATTTATGAACCTTTTCCGGTGACCTTTAATTTAAAAGGGTTTTATCTGGACTATATCATGACTATCTGTGATTTTACTCTGCCAATTTAAGTTAATCTCAACAAGTGTCAAGCCATTCATTAAAACCAATAGCATAATGGAAAATTTACTGTTTTTGCGAATAGATTGTATATTTCGCTTACCGTTTTCAGAAAATAAACAAAGTAGATTTATGGGGTTTCTCGATTTATGGACCCAATTTTAACACAAATAGCACTAAAACTGTTAGCATCGTGGAAAATGTACTATAATATCATGAAAATAAATGATCTGTAGAAAAGCTATCCAAATACTAGGCTAATCTTGTTCAGAAAATAATTTTGAACAAAAATGGAAATAACTCAGATCTAAAAGGTAATTTGTCTGATGTTTATTGGATTTATTAGTAGGTTATTATAGTCATGTAATTTATAAGTTATACCAGATTTTTATATCATTGTCAAGTAAGGTGTGATTTAAACAAACGTTTAATGTGCATTTTTATATATTGCTAACAAAGTTTTACACATTTGTCAACCAAAAATGATCTATGTGCTATTTTCGTACACTTGACCAAAACTATTGACTTAGTATGTGTTGACGGTCTTTTACAAAAATCTACAAAATACAAATCAAATGTCGCATGTATAAATGGATAGAAGATTTTCTAAACAATATACACATTAGAGTATGGGTAGGAATCTGCATAAGCGCAAAAGTCGCACTGGAAAACGGGACGTCTCAATGTTTCACCATCAGTCCAATTCTTTTTAATATCTTGATAAATGATATGCCAAGCTCTGGTAGGTAGGCAAAATGTCGAATCACTACTTTATAGACGAGAGTGTTTCTAGATAACAATATTAATACTCTGGCTAAAATACTCTGAATGGGCAAATGACTGGGTATGCAAAATATCGGAAGGAAATACAGTAGCAACGCTGTTCCAACCGACTAACAGCAATAGGAAAATTGAGTTAACCCTATAGAATTTAAATCAGAGACAAAGTTGCTTTTGGCATGTCAATTGCTCATTCAACCCATAATATACTATTCAAAAAAAGTAGGGGATATTTGATTTTGGGGGCATAATACTAAAATATGCAAATGACTACGAAAAAAGTCACTATAGAACCTAACAGAAGAAACATTTCCAGTTACATGTGACGCCCAAACGCACCAATAGCTACCGCATGGAATGCAGGTGATGCTTGGGATCATCATGGGGGTCCAACCCAAGATTTGCACGACTCTGACTTTGAATGTTACAGTCATTGTGGCATTGAATTCCAGGGTGGAAACATCAGTTTAATTGTTTTAGTGACCAGAAAACAAATTTTGATATGCGTCGGCTTACCCAAAATGAAAGGTTACGTGCCCTTGGCATGCTACAGATCGGCACAACACAGGCGGTTGTGGCGCGGACGATGAATGTTTCTCAGTCTGTCATAAGCAGGCTATGGTCCAGATACCGTGATACACAATCTGCACAGGACAGACCACGCTCAGGTCGACCAAGGGCGACAACCCAAGCCCAGGATCGATTTATCCGTACCTTGGCCTTGAGAAATCGTGTCATCACAGCAAATCAGATCAGCGCTCGTCTTCAAACAGACACTGGTGTGAGAGTGAGTGGCCAGACGATTCGGAATCGACTGCATAGGGGTCACCTTCGCGCCCGACGTCCTCGCGTGATCCCTTGTTTGAGAGATCATCACATTCAGGCAAGACGTCGTTGGTGTAGGGATCGTCAACACTGGGATAATCGACGCTGGAGCAATGTGATGTTTTCAGATGAGTCAAGGTTCACTGTTGATTTTTTGGACAGACGTAGGAGGGTGTGGCGTCGTCGAAACGAGCGCTTCCAAGACGTTAACGTCATCAGACATGATCGATTTGGGGGTAGTTCTGTTATGGTGTGGGGAGGCATCACTGTTGCTGGAAGAACGGCTTTACATGTTGTTGCAGGGCGTGTTACAGGCCAGTACTACCGGGACAACATCTTGGCAGTCCATGTTGTGCCGTTCGCACGACGTCATGGCCGCCGTTTCATCTTCCAGGATGACAACGCAAGATGTCACAGGGCCAGGATCGTTACAGGTTACCTCCAACAACAGAACATCACCACATTACCTTGGCCAGCACTGAGTCCCGACCTCTCCCCCATCGAGCATGTCTGGGACATGCTTGGACAGAGGTTACGTCAACGTCAACAACGTCCTGCCAATGTCCAAGAACGTGCTGCTGCGTTGCAACAGGAATGGGACAATCTGGACCAAAATGACCTTAGACGTCTCATTAGGAGTATGCCACGTCGGATCAATGCTTGTTTGGCAAACAGAGGAGGATTTACCCGTTACTGACTTGGTTGTGATGCTGTGGTAACTTTGCTGTTTGACCCCGGGTATCATTTTACCCTTATAATGGTCAGTCTGTGCCTTACTTAGTCTAACGATCATTTGGAATAAATCGATGAATGTGAACTTCATTTCATTTTGTCATTTGTTTCTTCGTCAGTTTCATTAGGTGACTTTAATAACACTTAAAAATCAAATATCCCCTACTTTTTTTGAATAGTATATGATGATCAGACTGATAGCCATCTTATATCATGATACGATCATACGATAGACCTACACATTTTAAGAACTATTTAGTGTTCTTTGATTTCACTCATAAAATTCTATACAATGATTAAATTATTATACACAGAAGACTTTACTCTCCTTATTGCAAATTATCGCAGCTATAGGGTGTCATTTGATAATACCGGGTAGTAAGTCTATTGATATTTAAATTTGGTGTGAAGCCTTGGAATCGGAAATGATGAACCCTGTTAATTATCAGTAATCTTGAACTTTCTGTTCCAGAGATATATTATGTGTTCTTAAAAGCTTGAGAAGACGATAGGGATCTACTAGGTCCTCGTCAAATATGGTCTACACCCACGTTTTACGTTCGTTTAAGCTTTTGTTGAGACACGCTTTCACACTTTGTATGGCTATCATGAGAGGACGACCCTATCGATATTCAGCATTCTGGAGACTTTCCAGGGTTATCCGTCCCCCTGTTGCCAAATACCCATATTTCTTCATAATTTTACATTAAATAATGGTGCGTAAAATAACTTGAAATACACATTTATGAGATTTTGAATATATCTTTATTACACATTATGAAGCCTACATGCAGAATGACCGAACTGCAGACCGTAATCTAAATATTCAAAATTATATGATATTATGGCACCATGTAAATTAAGCTAAATTCATGATATATACATATAAATCAAATGTTTCAAAGACATATAAATCAAATGTTTCAAAGACATAACAAATAAATTATTTTAAAAGATTTGACTAGAAAAATAATGTCACTGAATGTTAACCTTTAAGATGTATACACTATATCAGGAATAAATAAATATAATATTTTAGCAAAAATCATAGTAACAACAATAGTGATAATATAATAAGTTTTTTTTATAAATTTCACACTTAAACCAAATTTAATAACAATAGAATTACATGAATATTTTGATTTTTTTTTCTTTTAATCTGGTCTATGACCTCAATTTTTTACTTTTTCAAATGCATTCTATTTTTGAGTCTAGTACAATATAATATAGTGGCAAAAACTGTGTAATGAAATTACTGATACTCTTGCGAGTAAAGCTACGGGTCATGCTGCAAGTATTGCACTTACCAGGAGGATAATAATAACAACAATTCCTCATGAACATTGAGCACCCCTGGACATGTTTCTAAGATACAGGGATAGACAAGTTGTATAGCCAAATGTATAGAGAGAGAGAGAGAGAAATGAGGTTTAACGTCCACTCGACACAAACTAGGTAATTTCTGGACTAACACATGGTTTAATTTTATTTGAATAATTCACTTGCGCGTAGGGGTCTTTAGCAGTGGGAGGAAACCGGAGGACCCGGAGAAAACCCACGAGGTTGGACAGGCCAAATGTATAGATATCCCATTTATGCAACCTGCTTATAATGCACATAATTTACTATAACCCTTGGTACACTACCCAAGTATCAAAAGTTCTAGATGATTGCATACCATAGAAACACAAGAATTATTCAACTGAGAATTTACAAATTTGCACACTGCATAATTAATATAAATAATAGATTGTTATGTATACAAAGTTTCATAAATATATCTTAAATGGTTTATGCTCCGGCCAATAATAATGTAGAGAGTTAAAACTAAGTCAAACTTGTTTTTATTATTGAATCCAAGAAACTTCTAATTACCAGCAGGCACAGCTACTATTAGGTTGATGTTTGTACAAAGTTTCATAAAAATAATTGAACAGTGAATGAGAAATTCTCTGGAAACAAAATCGGGATGAAGGGTTAGACTAACAAAAAGACAGAGTCCTAACTTTGATGGATACAATAATTTCCTTAAGGACCACGCACACAAGAGTACTATGCATTTACAAGTGCCACTAAGCTGACCATCAAAGAAGATAGACTAAATTATATTAGGAAACATTGTAAAGCAAAACTGTGTTCAGATTTTAAAGTCACACTTTTCCATTGACAGTTCTTTAGATAGATGTATATTCTTCAATCTACCAGAAAAAAGGCTGTAAAATGCCCATCAGAAAAGAGCATCAGTTGACAAATACGTTGTTGTCAATCTCTTTCATACATGCTTGGTCAACAAATTTCATCAGAAGGGCCGAGACACATTTCAAATAATAATAGATGTATTGTGTGATAGATGATCTAATAGCATATCCCAGCTGATTCTAATGGCGGTATTGGCAATAACCCTTTTATGCAGGTGCAGAAAGTGAAGTTAGAGGTCTACTGTGTGTGGGTGAAATACTCCTGGGTCACTCAGCATTACAGCACTGCTACCAGTCACTCTACAACACTGAAACAATCTATATATTGTTGTTTTATTTGTGCAGTTGATGATTTGTGTGAATAGTTATGTCCATTGATAGCAGGCAAAATGTTGATCTACAGTTGATAGTGTCATGTTTCTGGTCTAAGGTCCATGTTCAGATTGGCACTACTATTATTCTCATACCCCCATGAACATCAATCACCAAAAACTATTTCAGATTCTAACAATCTTTCAAAGGTATGGTCTTCCAAACTAAACCATTCGTGAACATTTCACAGACAGTGAAACCATCAAACTCATATATTTATATACATGTATTCCTGATGGGGAGGTGGTTCTTTAGCGGTCCTAGTGATAATATACTGGGCAAATGAAAAAAATCTTCAACTACACTTTGATGAAAAAAGGGTATGGATTACTAGCCTTAAAGATGATGTGTTCATCAGATAAACTCTAGCATTTATAACAGTTCTACTGTCAATACATGTATAATCTATCAACACTGAGTATTACAAACATTCCAACACTCTATTTGTCTTATAAAGATTCCAGGAATTTGTTCTGGATATATTACAGCAGTTAACATCTGAACATTTGACATGACTGATAGGATAATGTTACTGGTGATACTTTAAAACCTGAAATTACAAATATACACAGTGTCATTACAACAATTATAATTGTAATCCCCAATTTTACCAATAGTATTCTGACTGTTTGACTCGCATTTGGGAATCTTTCATTAGTCCAAAATCATTACCTACCCTTTTATGTCTAGGCTGATAACCAATAAAGACTTAATTGACAAGAACCTATTATTTGTTGTTAGTTTTTGAGAATTACCACACAGATTTTCTTCTTGTAATAATCCACTAAATAATAATTAATAATGAGGTTTTATATAGCATCTTCTTCATGTTGACCTGTGTTGACACATGTTCAAAATGCTTTAGTAATGACTCTACTGGTAACGCTGTCGAAACAGGGAAGTCTTTAGTGTGGATTTAAATTGAATAAAAGTCTATAAATATGAAGAATGTGGGGATCCTTCGGGACTAAATCTTATGAAATTGTATAGCCATTTGTTGAAAAAGCCCCTAAGTGTGAATCCATCTCAATTTAAAATGGTTCAAATATTATGATTTATGTCTCTGTCGGGATCAGTCGTGAAAAGTTCAATTATTTATATGTTAATACTTCTACTCAGAGTATACGGCACAGGCTACTTCTGAATAGGATAATAGATGCCATTTCTCTTGGGAGGACTTACTAAATTGAACAATAGTGGGATCATAATCTGTTATATAAATGATCAAATTTCATTTTGGTGCGGTAAAAATAGTTTTCACTTGGATTTGAGTGTACATATTTTTATAAGGCGTATAAGGACCAGAATGGTTTTTCGGTTTAAACGAAGGTGATGATCTACTTGGAATCAGAACAAACGCTTTCTGATTGGCAGATTATACTCCGGTAATGTTTCCGATGTAAAATCTATCTGAGTTGTTTCGGTAAGGGATCTACCTCTCCCTAGGTAATGTTTGACTCTGGGTTCGGTTTCTCGTTGAGGTATCATAAGGTTTGTCATTGAGTCAGCGCCCACAAGCAATTGTGGACGACAGACGGACGGACGGGGGCAACGACAATATACAACCACATTTCAATGTGGGCGTATAAAATTTGAACCATGACCTAGTTTGTGTCGAGTGGACTTTAAACCCCATCTCTCTGTCTCATGAACGAAACTAGTCACTTTATGGGATGACTACTCGCCACTCACAGATTTCTAATTTTGATTAAAAGTCTGTTGATTCTTGATCTGTTGTGTAAGTTCATTCCATAATCTTGGACCAGCTGAACTGAAGGACCTATACCCATATGATTAACAGTCAACCCATACAAAGGCTAGGGCAAGAGTCAGAAACATTTCATGAACAATTGGTAGTTGTTTGAAGTCTGATTTCATTTTTTGTTATTTTCAACCTAACTGAAAGCTTTTGTCAAAATTTTCCGTAAACAGCAAGTTTAATCGAACAAGAAATGAGCAAGGCATTCGTTGATACAGAAATCTGTAACCTAAAATACTCTTTCATTTCATTTAATACATAGGGCAAAGTTATACCTGTTAAATTTAAAATCAATGACAATAAATCACATAGAGCAATTGTACAATAAAGAATATGTTTTTAGCTACTAAAATCAAAATTTAAAACAAAACTTTTTAGACTTGGACTTAGTACATATACCGTATTCTGAACATAATTCAATATAAGGTCAATAAGTTTGGTTACAATTATCCTTACCTTCATCAATAGGAAGCGAGGTCTGATCTATCTGCAATAATTTAATTATTTCAGCAAAATACTGAAAATATAACAGTTTATCTAATATATCTAATTTATTACTATAAGAACCCTGTTGGGTGTGATCACTTGTGGGAGGTTGGATGGCTGAATGGTTAGCACATGCACACTGTACCATAAAGTCTGTCATTGAGTCATCTGGCGTGGTTTCGATTCCCCAGTTGTACGTGACAAGGAGTAGGCTCGCCTCATGTCCAACCTCGTGGGTTTTCCCCGGGTCCTCCGGTTTCCTCCCACTGTTAAAGACCCCTATGCACAAGCAAATTATGGAAATTAAAATGAACCATAAATATGTTAGTCCGGAAATGACCTAGTTTGTGTCGAGTGGACGTTATTAAACCCCATTTCTCTCTCTCTCTTCATCACTCGGTCATGGACTCAAGTGCAAAAGAATCAGTTATCTAATTTTCGTATGTGTTTATTGGATTTATAGTAGTATTAGTACTCATTATTACATCTTAATGTATACAATGGGTCAATTTGATGTCTTCACTTGATAACTAGAGTTAATCATGCGAATGATATATATATCAGAAATGTTAGCATGCTTTACATCATTTCAAAATATTGAAATTCCAAACCTCTCAGAATAACAAAAGAAAGCGAGTTGATAACACCAGTTCATGTTGTGTAAATATATCCATGTTTAACACAACCTCAACAACACAGTCCTTAACTCGAATTGATTTCAAATACAGAGGGGGTCTGAGGTTAAGTTAGCACAGCGTTACACTAGTGCTACACTGATCTAACTGGTGTTGAACACTATACCACATTAACCCAGGAGTTCAAGTGACCCAATGACACGGTACATGAATAACAATACATGTATATGCCAAATGGACAAATATCTGTATGTTTTAACTTACTTTTAACATAATATATGAATACTTTATGAACTTTCAACATAATATATGAATACTTTATGAGCATTATCAAAAAGTGAGTAAACTTTCAGTTCAAGGGATAAAAGTGTTTTAATGCCAAGGCCATGGTTAAATAAAACAAATTTATATAAATATATAAATTATTAATGGGGTTCTTTATTAGGTGTGATGCAATAGAAAAAAAAGAGGTTTAACAAAAGGCAATTATAAACTAGTAACTGACATTAACAGATGTGCATTAATTCAGATTAAATAGATGAAAGTCTCTAAAATCAAGCTTTCATTCACTCATCTGTCGACAAAGACTTAAATTAAACATGTGGTGAGGAAAGGTTTGAACCAAATTTTAAAAAATTGTTCTTAAAATTAAATGCATTTGCATTTATTGTCATTAACCCTTTTACAAACTAACAGTCAAACATCATGTCACCTTCAACTTTGAGTAGGAGTTTATATAGATATATTTGTTGTTTTAAGCATGTTATGTTAATTTAACTACTGTGTAGAGAATAAAAAACACAATACTTTTAAATCAAATTACTTCATGCTGAGTGTTTGAAGTATTGACAGGAAATAAAGTAAATAGTCTTGATTTTCTAGGACTATTATTTTGATAAAAAATAAAGTCTAGAATTTCCATTTTAAATCTAAAATATTGTATGGTGTGAATGTTCTAATCCATTCAATATCTAAGCCAATTGATAGACTATAGAGTTGACTATGGGCTTGTGATAGGAATAAATGTCTCAATAATATTTTATATAACATTTGAAGTCAAAAAAATAAATGCAATAGGCAGATATAGCTCTTGCATTTATATGCATCTTTAAAGGGTCAATTATCTTAATTCTGGAAGTAAAAATGAAGTGACCAGCTCTGTTTATTGTTTGAATTTCTCGTTCTCCTTAGAAAACATGGCAATTTAGAGCCCCATTCTTTCTATTTTGGGCATCTCTTAACGATAAATGTTTTAAACAATTCGGGAAAATATTTACACTAGAATGATTATGGAGGAACTTCTACTCTCTTCAGTACATCTCTTTGGTCACCCAAGAAATATTTGTATACATAATTTGTAAAATGAAATAAATCAATGTTATAGTATGAGAATGCAAATTACCTCTATAATAGGTGAATCCCCCTCATGTATACCAAGTTTAGTAATAAAACCTTTAACAGAATTACAGTATTGTTGTTTATGGCATGCTACACTGGAATGACTGAAATAAAAACATTAGTTAGTAATGAGTGTCAGACACAAGGTAGGCTATACCTATAGTTTCCCAAAAACCACTCAGTATCATTTATCTTATTTGTAAGGAGAGGTTTCTTGCTATACCAATATATAAACTGATTGTTTTGGCAATAACCTTTTTCTTTTTTTATTTTCACAGAAAGATTTTAAAAATTATTTTTAATTTCTTTGTGCATAAAGCATGGTGTACATCGACATGGTGACGCAAATGATCATTAAAATTTGCAGTTGATTTACGCATTGAGTGTACATCGACACTTCTACCTACAACTGGTAGCAACTTGCAGGTTGCTCAATTCAATGCACTTACATCAATATTGGTAAAACAGAAAAACAAGTTCATGTGATTTTTCAGCTGTCGAGAAATATCAATTTTGTCTTTATGATAAGCTGTATAGTATTTTTAATATGAACTGATTTAACCCTTTCAGTGATAATTAAGTTTTTTGTACCATATAATGCTAGAGATAAAATAAGCAAAATATGACATTGCTTACCGCAGGTAAAACGAGATGTATATTATTAATAAAAAAAAAAGAGATTTTGAATCAAATTCCATGAAAAACATTCTTGTGGGGATAATAGGACCAAATTTGCCCCCAAAAATATTACATGCTCTGGTCATGTGACCTGGTGGCCATTTTGGATTTTCAGAATTTAGTCATTCAAATCCAATTTTCACCAAATATTTAACAGAATCATGTTTTTATCTGACAGTCTTTTACTGTTTTAGCTAAAGGTAAATCAGTAAGCCTATATAATTATATGAAAAGCCACTTTAAAAAAATACAGTTTTTTCCTTTTTTTTATCATACGTGTCTTGTTTTGAAATTAGTCTTGCTTGACCAGTCTACCGACCGTTCTCCGTCTGATTGACAGGCCAGGAAAATCAAGACTACTTTTTTTACGAAACATAACATAAGGCTGGAACAAGATATTGAATTTAGAAACACACATGTTAGGCAACTTAACAATTGTTTTAAGAACCTTGTAAAAGTAAAATGAAACTACTGCTAGTTGCTATTATCATGTTCTTGCCTTACTCGAGTGTTTCATAGATATTATTTGAACTAAACCAAAAGATCCCGCTCCTAACGGTATAGTTAATGATAAAGCAATGATAAACATAATTTCTGAAGCTGCAGTAACAACCAAAAATCTTAATAAAATAAAACCAAGTACGAACAATCCAAACCATTAGACAAAATTCGAAGTCCTAAAAAAACATGTATAGGCAAAATAGTGTAATAAGGCAAAATAGTGTAATCAGCATATGGACTGTTCACCATGTACAAAATACACGACAAACAGTGGTAACAGGTGTCCGGAAGAGTAAGCTTACCCTGCCTGACAACAATAGATTTTTTTATGGCTTTAATAGTTGAAAGTGTGTAGAGAATTTCATGTACGATTGCTATTTATAGATTTATAGATGCTTGTGCTGAGTGCTATCGCACTGCATGACTGGCCAGAAATCACTTTGAGACAAGCCACTGAGATCAACTTTCAGTAGGGAAAATTTTGGATGCATGGGGCACCCTACTAATTGCCGGAAATATAGAAGATGAGCAACTAGTAGCAACTGGTTGTCAACTGGCAATTTTCCAGACGCACGTATCCATACATCGACACAATCTGGTAATTGATGATTGTATCCTCTCAGATGCGGCAAGTTGCTCCCCAGTAGCAAGTGTAGATGCATACAAATTCAACTTACTGACTAATGATATTTGTCGAACCCAGACAAAAGGAATGATAAAATATAAATGCTTTAGCAGCTATCTCCATGAACCAGCTAAAATATAAATAACATACATAATATAAATATCTATTCTATATTAATTATTAGCAATCAACAAAATGTACCCACCAGCAACATTTTGAAGGGTGACTTTTAGGGAACAATAACAATACATAAAATTGTTGAGTTGATAGAGTTTCTCCTTATGATTATCAACACAAAATCTGCCATTTTACAAGGCTTCTATGACAGGGGCAGTAACACAATGACCCACTCTGGATTTCGATAGGGTTAAATAATTCTGACCCGAGAATGCTTAAGGGCGTTGAGAAGTCTAAAATGTACATTTTAAAGCTAGCACTGTAATTTTTGTTGATAAGATATGACATTTTTTGTTGTTTTGGGTGCTAAACTACATATTAATCACCCAAAAAATACAAATTTTATTTACCAACTATGTTCCAAACTTGGCCCAAAAGCATGATAATAAAGGGTGCTGATAAAAACAAAAGTCAAATTTTTTCAGTTATGCCTGCATGGATTTTCATCAAATTTGGCATGAACAATGCTAATTTCAAGTCCAAAAAAGCTGCTTGACAATTCTTAGCTATAGGCTGTGGTTTGTCTGGTATACATGGAAAACGCAAAAAAACAATGAGTTTTCATGGAAATTATATTAGTACATGCTAAAATGAGATATTGATAAACACTCCAGTAGATGGAATATAGAAGTTATAAGCTACATTTCAACACAAAAAATGTTGTAAAATATCAGGGGCCTGTTTCACGAAATGTTAACTAAGGATAAAATCCAAATTTTAGTAGATACTTAAATTTTGATTGGCTAAGGACTAAAATCAATCTAATATTATCCAATCAAATGATTAAAATTTGGATTTTATCTTAGTTAAAATTTCGTGAAACAGGCCCCTGCTCAAAGTATTTTAAAATCCTTGTTCATTATTTACCTTCAAACAAGATTTTGTAATTTTGGGTTAATTCTTTGAATACGTCCAAGTTTTAAAGTACAACAATTCAGACGTAAAAAGTAAATATTTAATTCAGTGCACTACTCCGCCGCTCTAAAAATCATTTTATACATTCAAAAATGGCAACCTTCGACCATCAAAAAATGAAATTCAGACATGTTCCAGTCGCGATAGATGGTAGGCCTGGATAATTACGTCTTAGAGGGAATTCCTTCTGATGTCATATCTAGACAGACTTCAATGATCAAATGTGAAACTGCTGCTGGACACGACCATGATTGTTTACAGCAGATGACGTGAACAGTGCATACGATGTCATAATTTATTCAAGTACAGATCTAGGTTGGTGAAATCTTCGCATTGCTATAAATAGCTTTTTTCTTTCTGCTTGTACATCCATTATTACAAAACAAACGGTCAGACTTATTTGTCCTCTGGGTTATTTTACACATGGAACAAGTGTGCAAAGTCTTAATAAGATTGGTGTTGAAAAGTTAGTCCGTATCTTAGACTACTCAATGCTCTTAAAATAATTGTGCATGGACCAGGTTTAGACATTATACACCCACATAAAATGTGAGCATAAAATAAAATATAAATTGAACTGTTTTCCTTCATTTGATCAACCCATAGGTCAATTACTTACCAATGAGTAAAAGCTATAAAATCTGCATCTGTTTTAAAACATTTCTTTTTAGATATTATACTATGTATTAGAGTACCCTGAAGATAGAAATATTGAGATTGATTCATTCATTATTCAAATATATGCATTACATAAATTATACATACTCAATACATAGTAGGGCTAGGCAGAACAATTTGTCAGCGTGCAGAGCACTTCACAAGGTAAGATATTAGAATTAGAATAAATTAAATGAAAAGGGTATATTTAGATAATTAAATTAAAGAAACAAAAACTTTAAATGGGCTATTTGAAAACAGAGTCTAAACAGTGACAATATTGATGTCAAATTTTTATAATATGAAATGTTATGTGGTAGAACAAAAACTTCAATGGGCTATTTGAAAACAGAGTTTAAATAGTGAAAATATTGATGTCAAATTTTTATAATATGAAATGTTATGTGGTAGAACCATATATCAATAATGAACAATTTTCTTTGATAGCACAATTTGTGTGTCATTCTTAAAAGGTATATATAAATATTTATAAATGTATGTATATATTTTTTTACCTGATATGTTGGAGCTATTATTACTTTCTTATCTACATCTATTATACTACAATATTTCTGAAATACAAAAACTCTAAATTACTATATGTAAATAAATGAAATGAAATAGGGTTTAACGTCCTACTTTTTTGCTCCAACTGGATTAACGAAAACAGGTGTATGCCATAAAGTGTACTATGAAGAATATTTTGTCTGGACAGCGTGCTACGACCTAGTCTTTTTTGAAAATTCCAACTGTCAAGAGTTCATTTAAGTTCACGTAAATGTGTACACAGTATCTTGGTTTCTCATACCATCCGAATGACTACACAGTCACCTGGACAAGCAGTTCGTCCAGCATCACTGATCAGGTGGAATGCCGGAAAATCCTGAGGAACATTCTCGGTCAACACCCGAGACCATTGGTAGCGAGCCAGCATCTTACTAAATCAAAGCTTAAATTATTGTTTCACATAATCATCAAAATGTACACTTTACTTTCAACAATTAGATTTCTAGAATTAATGATACCAAGCAAACAAATAAAATTTAAAAAATCTAAGTAAATACTAACTTTAACAACTGATTCTATAGAACGTTTTTCTGTTCTACATACACCAGCTATTTTAATTCTAGGTAAGTCTGTTAATCTAAACGGCTTAGATGACCATTCTACTATAGCATGGTGTTTTCTAAATACAAAGCATAAATACAATTATAAGACAATCTTGAATAGAATCTCATAAAATCCATAACAAACCACTTGTTGAATCTTACTTGTGCAGCTGGCAGCCATCTCACAAAAATGAAAAGTCAACCGTTTTTATAATCCCAGTGCGCCGATCACATCATTTAAAAGGATATCTAAACTAACAAAATATGTGAAATGGGCAGATTGCTTATGTAGGTACTTCATCAAACATTACACTATTTCAATGCCCACATAATTATCTTATGCATAAAATGTCAGTGTTACCATATAAAATTGTTTAACAATATCCTGATTATAAATAACATTTTTAGTAATCTTTGTCTCCCTGAAATACATCTTGGCTTATACGAATCACATGACCACCTATCTAAAATTAATAATCCTAACCAAATACTATTCCTGAATCATGCAATCATATTAACAAAATACTAAAATATTAAAATCAAAATTATCAAAAAAACTTGCATGTAAAGAAAGTTACTTATCGTTTCTTTTAATAAGAGCAAATTGAGAATTTAATTTAAACAAGGATTCTTGTGAAAAATGGAAATACTTAACAAAGATCATCGACCACAGTAAATTATAAATACGCTAATATTGATAACTATGAATGAAACTGTTGTTGTATGTATAAATATGTTTATTTTATATATTATATGTATATTGGAACTATTGTATCTTGGGAAAAAAATATATAAATTTGCTGATCAGTGCTAGTACATGTATATAAGAGTAAGTATCCTTGAAGAAAGTAAAAATAAGCCATACCTTCTGTGATTAGGAAGAAAAAGACATAATGCTGTGACTAGTTTAATGACTTCCATTTCATGTTTAGCTTGACCTACAACCAATACTAATCTACCAGTCAATATACTGTATATAATATGTTGTATATTATTATACTTATTTAATACTTGTAATACACCAATACCTAGACAAATATAACATTATACAATATTACAATCTACCAAATGACTATAATGTACTTGTCTCAGCATATTAATGGGAAACCATCTCCAAATATGGTTTTACAAATATGGAGGGAATCGTATACACCTTCATAATAAGCATTTCTTTTTCAGAAGACAATACCAGTCTTTGAAGTATTTTTATATTTAATTCATTGTCTAGTATTGAATGTAAATTAGTTTTATCAACATACAAATTGAAGTATAATGAGCTTGTCAGGCAGTCTAAATAAACATGGTCTAAGCATGGTTCAAAAAAATAAATTTTTGATTTTGTGTGCAGCTAATTTTTAAACAGTGACTGACTGTTCCATTCATAACATACCAGCCAGTGGTATGTCAGTTGTTAATATAAAAAAATAATTTTATCACAGGTTGTACATGCAAATGCTTGAAATTATTTTAATATTGAAATATTAATACAAAGCTAGGTTGCCAGGCAACAAAACATACACCCACAGCAGCTAAATTGTCTGAGCCGTCCAAAACGGTTGTCATATATTTATTCTTTTGTAGGTAATGGGGGGCATTTACAAGACAATTTCATCAGATCAGATTATAATTTTCGTCATTTGAGGGTTCACAAGGTTCTCCAAATGCGCACAAGGGTCTTGACCCTGGAAGCAATTTACTGCAAGTTTTGAAATTCGATAGGTATTTTCATTTCACTAATTTGAATGGTGCATATTAATTTTATATACATGTAGATCGGTTGATAACCTTTGTTGTTAGAGTCTTCACAGGATTCAACAAAGTGAAACAAGGGCCATAACTCTAGACGTTATTAATGGAAATTGTTGAAATTTAATAGACTTCTTTCTTTTACTAATTCAAATGATGCATATAAATTTTATACAGATTAGATAACAACTTTTGTTCTAGAACATTCATAAGTTCCAACAAAGTGAAACAAGGGCCATACCTCCAGAATAAATTAACAGAAATTATTGAAATTAAATACACTGTAACTAACAGTGTACTCCAGTATCATTTAATCTTGTGTATCTAGTACTAATATTTCTCACATTCGTTTAATATTAAATTTTTGTTTAAATTTTATTTAAAATCACCCTAAATCATCTAACTTGTACTTGTTTCCAGTTTAAAGCTGACTGATTAACTTTGGTAACGAGTGTCCAATTTACAAGTATTTAATTTCCTGACCACTGTTTAAAAATTAATCATTATACATCAATAATCAATTGGGTTACGCAGCTTGAAATGTGATAAGAGGATACTAAAAATAAAGAAAAGGTAAGTGTTACCTGAACTGTCATATCGTAAATTAAAAAGTAAATCACCAACAGTATAAATTCCACCTCTAGGTTTTCTGTATACAAATATAGAAAGTTAATTAAATTCTACAGTGTTATTTTTTAATCAACACGTGAAATAAATTAATCAGTTTATGTGCAGTCATAATCTTGTCAGTTATAGCACAAGTGCCTTAAACATGAAAAATCTTTTTCAAAAATAACATTAAACTACAACTAAGTATACTGTCTAACATCTTACATTCTTGTTTTTAAGCGAGATTATCAAATTCAGGGGCAAGTAACTCATCTGAAACTGACTCTCTATCAAGGTGAGAAACCAATCTGATTAAAATACAGATTTATATTTAATTTTTTTTTTTTTACACTTCCGATGGCCTACACTACGTGAAGATTTTGCCAGTTATACTGGAAGGTCAAGTCAGGGGTTGTATGAGCGGCTTTTGACCCTATGACGTCAGGCATTGATTAATCAATCAGCATTGACCTTTCTAGTGGTTTACCCACAGATCCGTGCATCGCACACCAAGAAATCGCCGTAACAGATGGTTTCATTGGCTAATCCCGAACGCAGGTTATATAACAACTCGTCCAGATCCTTGTGTAGTACAGACAAAAAAAAAAAAACAAAAAAAAAACCCCACAAAATTTTGAACTACAAAAAACAAAACGAAATAGGATCTGTGAGAAACACACTGCTAACGAAAGGTTGGATCAAAGTCCACTACAAGACATTTCATCAACCACAATACTCACTAATTCTTACTTTCTTAAATAGCAATTCATCATTCTATCTCACATCAGTATTCAATAGTAAAAGCACAACATAAACATTGTTTTTAAAGCATCAATATGATTATAATTTAATAATCTTGCACTAGTATAGTAATTTGGGGTAAATCTTTGGTTTCCTAATATTATACATGTTGACTGAATTACACAGGACCTTCAATTATACAAGATGTATTCTTTATACACACAAAAAAAAAAGATTATGTTTTTAGACAATATGAAACCAGACAGTGATCAGTAATAATGTAATAATCATTACCTGATTAATCTTGTCCCTTCACTGCTGGGAGTTGTATCTGTGAAATAAAAAAAACAAAAACATTTGTTTGGAAACAAAAGAATTGGATCGTGTAGCATTTTTTCAAGAAAATTTTTGAGACCCATATATATGGAATTGTTTTTATTTATGTTAATGTGTGCAATGATAGGGTAGTAATTTTGCCCTGCTTGTGGCATTTCCACACAGTCAACAATGAATTCCAACTATAAGGGGATCTTTTACATGTACTACAAATGTGTAAAAGGGACTAGGTGTTTTATCACAATCAAACGACTATTCTTGCCATTCCAGAAAGTATTACAGCTGATTTGTGAAATCTTGTAAGTTATTGTCAGCCACACAGAGATTCGAAACCTGTTTTAGGAAGACATTTATATTTACTCTCAAAACATTAATGAATAATTTAATAAGGGAGCATGAATAAGGATTACAAGTTAACTGAAATCTCAGTTATGCAAACTATAATGGTATCAATAGGAGGCATAACCTCATGTCAGATTTCAGATGCACTATAAATTCTTAATTACATTACATAATATTATCTTATATATATGAAATGAGCTACATGCCAGTAGTATCATCTGGTTCTGAGTATTGTCGTAGTAAATTTTCATCACTGGATGGTGGATCTATATATACACCATTAATCATCTGGCCTGTATCCGGTGTACTATCTACAGATGAGTCTGTTAATTTAGAATCACTTTCTGATGTATTTTGACTTTCACTGTTACAAGTAGTTATTGTGATTCCTGATTCTGTTGTTATCACACTGTTGTTATCTTGTAGATCACTAGTGTATTCCAGGCTACTTGTTTCAACATTATCCAGTGTTATGCCTTCATTGATTGTTTTGTCAGGTGTTTTCATTGGAGAATTGGAGCATGATTCATACACACTAGGCATGGTGTCTGACTCTGTCATTGAACTACTACCACTCAGGTTACTATCAGCTCTAACAACACTTGGTGAAGTTTTATCAACATCAAATGGTGGTGTAAACAGGGTATCATCATCACAAAATCTACAACATATAAAAGCTGACAAATCTTTCTATCAGACGAAAAGATAACAAGTTTTAATAAAACATTATGCTTTTTTGTAGTACACATTTTCCCCCTCCATTTTTATTGCATTGTTCTCCAGATACAGTCTTCTATTTTTATTTATAACATGCTTGTGTATAAGAAGACTTCAAAGAAAATCATTTAACCTTCTTTACTATAGACATCATAACACAAGACTTTCACTTCAAAATTTTGCCAGTGACACTTTTAACCTATTTTGTTAACATATGCATTTATTTATTTATTCTTCAAGTAAAGGTCACAACATGACAACAATAAATATAGATAAATAAGAACTATGTGCTGCATCGTATGATCTGGAAAGCAACAACAATAAATATAGATATATATATGAAATAAGAACTATGTGCTTCATTGTATGATTGGGATGTGAAACGAGACGAGAATGACAGGTATGGTGTCATGAGGATGGCAAGATAATTATTCCAAAGAATATTATATTTTTAACATTATTGTCTTTAAAATTCTAATTTTGTGGCATGTACATTGACTGACAGATATGTTCTCCAGCCGGTCAAAGTCACAGCTAGTCAAACAAAGCTTGCCAAATATGAATGAAATGAAAGCATATATCAAATGCTTACTGTTTATTTTGTAGAAATATGAAAGGACTTTCACATGATATAAAAATTATAACTTAGATATAAGTTTGAAAGTATAAATCACATAATACACTTGCAAATGTAAGCTGCAAATGTAATGGCCAGGGCCGTAACTAGCTCAGAGCAATGAGCGGGGCGGGAAGTGTTCTCAGGGGTGCTGTAAAATTGACGGACAATGGATATCTATTGTTTTTATGGTCGACAATTTTTTTACGGGCCTGGTAATGGCTTTTATTCTCGCTAAGTCCAATGTACATTTTATTTTAAATAGAACGCAAAACAACTTTACACTTGAAAACCTTGTTAAGCTCAGTTTATTTATACAGTAAATATCAACTAACTACCACCAGTAACAGGATGATTTAATCTTGGCTGCTTCTCTTAAAAAAAACACTGAATGTGCTCGGGACCTATACGTCAATGTACATGCCATAAAACAGGTAAATTTCACCAGGAATTAATACTATCTACTATATATGTGTACATACCCTTCTGAGGCTAGCATAAAACTGTCATTAGATTGAGCTGATGTTAATGAACTTTCACTGACTACAGATTTAAACGAACCAACAGAACCTTCTAGAGTGTCAATCTGTAATAAAAGCAATGAGCAATAATATATTAATTGAAAATTTTTAAATAGTATTTTTAAAATTTATTAAGTAGATAAAAGTTTGAATAACCTTCCATAAAATAATAGAATCACAATGTAAATTATATACTTACTGAAGACCATTTCTGTAATAATTCTGCTGGAAAAGACAAAGCTGGGCAATCAGCTGGTCGACTGGAAACAAAATATAAATATCTATTGATCTGTGGCACTTGGAAGCTGTGGAGGTTGTGGCTCATGATTAGTGACATTATGAGAGATAAAATATTTCTTAAATCTCAGGCCAAGATTCAGTTAAAAAGCTACTGGGAATGATGTTTACTCGTCCCTGAACTGATTCATAAATCTGCCAAAATAAAACTGGCTTCAGTCAATTCTTAATTCTTGGGCGAAAGACGTCCTAACCAGAAACAATATTGTTGTATTGTCAATATACCGGTATATCCTATGTTCTTTAATACAACTATACATTTTGATAAGTGTGTTGATAATACTTACAGTGATAAACCTGACAAAAAGTTATGTGTTATACATTGTCCACATGACAAAACTGATGTTGAAGGATCTGTGCAGAAAAAACACAAAAATTGTAATTAATGTAAAGAATAACATTTGTTGCTGATAAATCAGTTGTGGAGTTTAGGATAAGGCAATTCTTAACTCTGTCAGTGCATAACTGATGAGTTGTTTCTAGGCCGACACCTAGAACCATTCAAGATCATTTACAGGATTAGTTATATTGCTATATCTGGACAATCAAAAATGTGTGCTACTTAATGCTGACTGAATTGTTGGCCGCACTTGACACTGTAGACGACACCACCCTACTAAACCGACTTCGACTTTTCATATCACTGGAACTGTGTTTCAGTTTATATGGTTGTATATATCAGTCGAACACAATGTGTTAGTGTCACCGGATGTTTCTCTCAAAAATCGCAATATGGTGTTTCACAAGGCTCTGTTTTGGGGCCAGTGTTATTTATATTGACCCTATTGATTTATTAAATAAAAGACCAATATTTTCTGCAAATTTTCGAAGAGTTTTATGGGTCATGTAATCGGTTAATCAGATTTCATGTGAAGTGAATTTCGAGATACTAGGCAGTACTATAAATATACCTAATCACTAAGAGTATTAGAAATGAATATGTATTTATAACAGAAAATGTAAACATCATGTCAGAGGTTAAAAATTGGCAGAATTAATTTATTTTGGTTATTTATTAACATTGAATCATTCATAGAATTAATTAAGATTATTAACATTAAATTTCACATGGACAATTAACAGATATGAATTACAAATCCATGGCACATATTTTTAAAACTTTTAACCTGTCCAAAAATGACTGTAGTGTGTGTGTTTTGTTCATATTTATTGGGCCTATAAGTTAATGTTAGGACCTATAACTTTCATGAATTGGATCGACCAGCGGGTCCTGCTGGCTTAAAACTTTTCTTGTCAAATTGTAAACACTGTTTTGGACCAACTCTTCAGCATGTACGTATCTCCGCAGGGAATAAATGTTTGACATAATGGTTTATCTCTCAGTTCGGAATTACTTTTATTTAATCCATATGCCCAAAATCAGTTTGAAAATAAAGGCTTAACATCAAAAGGTGCATTGATGATATGAAACTTTGGGTGACTGCTAACTTTCGAACTGAATGGTGAGAAAATCGAATACCTAGTCACTGGATCAAATTTTAAGTCAAAAGTTATTTTATTCACATGATTGTTATATTTACCTATTTTTATTTCTTTTTTTATGTTTTTGTATTTTATTCTGTTCTTATATTATCCACATTCATAATCATTGACTACTCCTATGTTGTCACTTTTTGGGATAAAAGATGCGCTATACAAGTACATACTTTTTATAATAAATAAATGATAATATTAGTATGTAATATAATATTTACCTAATAAGGAAGTTTCTTCTCTTTCTAACTCTAAAATCATTGCTTCTCTTTTAAAATGCTGAAAGTATTGCATTTTTTAATTACTTTATCATTTTAACAATATCATTTCACATAACTGAAAATATAGAGAACTTATATATAAGTATTTTCAGAATTGTTGATCAAGAAAAAATACTTGAGTCATTTAGATGACAAACACACAAATCATGAATAAATCCAGTAGTTGTTATCTACAGAATTGTCTTGTTAGGTATTATGTCCACTGTAAAAACCGAACAATTTGCTATCATTCTAGCTACTGACCTCATAAATCCATCGCATCTTCTTCATTCCCTCCTTAGCACCCCATGAACATAGTTCATGCAGACCTCTTAAAGTCCTATCAAATTTCTTTTTTTTCTTCATCTCTACCAGTTTAGGCTTTAAATAAAATTGTAAAATACTGTACCATACATTATATGCATTATGAGCATAGGTAGATAAATCCACAGTTCTAAAGCAATTGCATGATATATATCATGAAAATCCAAGGTTCACTCATAGGTATTGTAAAGCAAGGGTATTGTTATATGTGAATGTGATGATGTAAAGTTATTATATATTGTTATAAGGAAAGATGTAAAGTAAATGTGAATGTAATGATGTGGAGTACATTTGAATGTAATGATGTAAAGTGTAATGATGTAAAGTAAATATATTGTTATATGTAAATGTAATGCTATATGTAAATGTGATAATGTAAAGTAAATGTGTTGATGTATGTTAAGTAATGATCTAATGTTAATGTACTGATGTAAATTGTTGCATATTAGGTGCAGTGTTGTGAATGAAGTGTTGTAAATGAAGTGCATTGTTGTAAATGAAGTGCATTGTTGTAAATTAAATGCATTCTTGTAAATGCAGTACAGTAAACCTTGCATAAGTTGGATTCGTATAAGTCGGATCTTCGCTCAAGTTGGAGAAAATCGTTTGGACCCTATGATCCTGCATGTTTTTCTTATTAAATTTCTGCGCGTAAGTTGGATTTCCTAAGTCGGATCTTTGCTCAACTCCGATCAAAATGTTCGGTCCATTTGATCTAATTCCGGCTTTTTTCCTTCGCCTAAATCAGATTGGCAGTATGTTCACAACATGCTGTTAAAAATATGTCTCCCTCCGCAAACGGCCTGGCTGATGCCATTGAAATCCAAATACAGGGCAGCGCAAAAATTTGAGCAACTCGGCCATATAAGACGAAACGAAATTGGAATTTTTGAAAAAATTTGATTGGGACTGACACATGAGCGTTCCGCAGTAAAAAGTTGCCCAGTAAAATTGACTGGGAACCAATTTTATTTCAACAAGGATTCAATAGGACGTTCCTGAACATACAGGGCGATAATGAGACCTACGCTCAGAGCTGAACTAGGTCTTCGGCTAACTCGGATCTTTGCATAACTCAGATAAAATTGGTCAGCCCATTTAGATCCGACTTATGCGAAGTTTACTGTATATAGTTGTGACGTAAATGTATTGTAAAGTAAATAAATTAACTTAAATTAAATGTATTCTTGCAACTAAATGCACTGTTGCTTGCTTTTTAGTGATGTGGTAAAGTCAAGGCATTTTTTGTATGTGTAAACGTATAGTTTAAAGTGAATATATTAATGTAAATTAGCAAAGTAAATGCATTTGAGTAAAGTAAAATCTTAAAGTTACAATTTCATATTTTCTAAGAAAGTCAAAACATAATTATTTCTATGTCTTTTGCTCAATAGGTTGTCAACTCACTATTATACGATCATAGGTGTCATTCTCACACTTAAAACTCATTTACACCGGAAATAATAATACAGTTACCTCCCTTGTTTTCTATTCTCCACCATGGAGTAGCTATCCTCAAACGTTTGAATTTGAAGAGGAAAATGATGTTTTTGCAAATTTCTGAACTGGCAATAGTGAATTATAGGATTAATAGGATTATTCTTTAACAAGGTAGGACTGTTTATAGATACCATCTATTTTAAGGCTTTATTTTAATAAATTTTAAAAATATAACGTAAAAATATGAAATTGCAACTTTAAATAAATGTATTGGCATAGATTTGAGATAAACTGTAAATTAAATGAGGTTTAACATCCTACTTTTCTGCACCGACTGGGCTAATGAAGATGGGTCTAAATTAAATCTACTGGTGTAAAGTATAATGTGCAACCTTCATTTGTCTGTATGTCAAACAACGTAGGTAGATAGATATTTATTATTACTTACTGAATATGCATGAATTTTTTCAAACAAATGAAGGGGATTATCAGGAGCATCATTAAAAGACCCATCTGGAAAAAGAAAACATTCATCATTATTCATCAACATCTACATAAAATTAAATACCCCTAGATAGACTTAGTATTATTCTTAAAAGGTGTAACAATTTAAGCTGTTTTAAAATTAGTTGACCTTTGCTATTGTTGGACTTAAAACTATGTGTCAGGCTGTTTGCCTTGATTAAGGAGAAATCTGATGTCCCACTTTCATTACAAATTAAATGTTTGTACTTACATTTAGATGCTGGTTGATCACCATGTTCTGTAAACCACTGTTCTTGTAAACTCAAACTATCTAATTTATCTTTTTTATTAGATTCTCGCCATGCCCTTGATTCTAATGTATGAAACCTACTTTCTAGTCGCTTATCATTCTAAAAAATAAAACCCCATAAAATATTCTAATATATAAACATTAAGGATTGTATTGGTGCTTTGGGATTGAGGCAGGGGACATCAGTCTTACAGTTCACCTGTTTAGATTAAATTGTCTAAGGAACACCTTTCAGACCTCTCATTGTTAAATTCAAATAAAGGGAATGGTGCACTGAGGCTTTAAATACCCTCTAGATAAAATTATCAACATACTAGTAATGGTCTCAGAATATCAAGAATATCTCTTATTTCAGCTAATGATGATTGTATGTGTTGTAGATCTTTATAAATAGCTTCTTCGGTACATCCTTGCTCAGGCATAGGCTTGTTAAAACGTCCTATCAGAACACCTTAATAAAAGAAATAAAATTATATTATTTATTAATGTCTTCTGTAAGTGTGAATTATTTTACAACTTCCATGACTAATATGATTAATCAATTCATACGCAACTATATGTTGCTCAATCTGAGGTGCACAGAACAGTGGGTAACCCACTAGAGACATCAACACCGATTGGTTAATCAAATGTCTGACGTCATAGGGTTAAAGGCCACTCGTGTATGACCTCTGATGTGACCTTCCACTACCACTGGTCAGATCTTCATGTAGTAGAGGCCATCGAAAGTATAAAAAAAATGAATTTTAATCAGATTGTATATGTTGCTTGATATCTAGAAATGATATTTTCAATGTGACCTTCCACTACCACTGGTCAGATCTTCATGTAGTAGAGGCCATCGAAAGTATAAAAAAAATGAATTTTAATCAGATTGTATATGTTGCTTGATATCTAGAAATGACATTTTCAATGCAATTTTGTTTTATCAACCTTTTGTGTATTCTAAGTCTTTAGAGTAGCGTTCTAAGTCTTTTACAAAACACATTCTGTTGCCATACTTGAAAAACTGAGCCACCTGTAAAGACACAAAAAAAACAAATTTTGAATGATGGCATCACGAACAGCTACACCAACAGATTCTATGTTTCAAAATTTTCATTTCAGACCCGAAAAAACCCATTGTACACATTTATTTATTAGTTTGAAGGTTTGTGAAATATAATAGATTTTAATCAGTCTCCATTTACTTAGTTTGATATCATTGATCAGATCAATAAAATATTACCTTCCGAAATTGTGAAGAAAACTCTTCATAGAAATTCACTAACTTTCTAAAATTAAAACAAAAGATATTTGAAATAAGAAATGTAGAACAATGTTACAATGTAGTGAAATGGAGTAATAAATAATTTAATATTACAGATTTCTTGTGACACAGAAGATAACAAAAATAATGTATCTGCTTTAATCAAATACATATAATATATATATGCTAACCTTTCTTCTTTAGTAACATAAGCCATACAGAACGGTCGTACAAATCCTCTAGCTTCATGATCATACAATGCAAAATGATGCACCTAAAACATGAAATGAAATGGGGTTTAACGTCCTACTGTTCTGCTCTGACTGGGCTAACGAAGACGGCCATACACCATACAGTGTGCTATGGGGGAAATTTTGTCGTGCAGTAGCACTATGGTCTACTCTTATATCGAATTCCAACTGCCAGGGGATCTTTTACGTGTACGCCAATGTATACACGGGTGCTTGGTTATTCGTCCCATCCAAATGACTAGACAGCTGTCCTTGTCAGCCCTCCGTGCTGCATCACTGACAAGGGGACATAACACATACAATGCAAGATAAGATAAGATACTAAAGAATTATAAATTTCTTTATTTATCATAAGATAAGACACCTTTAAGCAGAATTTCCATGGTTTCTATTACTGAGTGAACCAAGGTGAATATATCATATTTTTAAATTTTTGGTTTCTTCTACCAAACTGAAAATACCTCATAAAAGCTGCCACTTTAATTGACTGTTTTAGAATACAATATTTTATACTTACAAAGGCACACACTTGAAATTCTCCGGAATCTGTTAATATAACTTGAGTATCTTCTGATATACTAAATCCACTAAAAATCAAATATATTACAAGTTCTTTGACAGTATAAGCTTATCGGGTTAGTGTTTAGACAGTTACTTTAGGCTTATCCATAACTTAACTTTAAAGTTTCAATTTTGGGGGTAAAGGATAAAGATTTTGGAACCTTTTTATCCCATATTAAATTCTTAACCTCATTGACAAGTATATAAATTTCAGATGATTTTTACTAAAGGATAAAGATTTTAGAATGTTCTATCCTCAAATTCTTAACCTCATTGACAAGTATACCAATTTCATATTAGTTTTGCACGATTTTGACTTGATTATTGACATGCTTCTCATGTTTTTTTAAGTATCTAAATATAATACGAACAGAAGTCTGGTTACTAAACACAGCACAAGTCTGAGCACCAATTAGGAAAATTCTATAATTATTGTACAGGGAAAAATTAACATAAGAAACTTACGTTGTACTTGTTTGATGATCAACTGCCATAATTTTAACAGAGAAAGCATTATGGTCAAAACCATGTCCACCATCACTAGGAATTGTCAACTTAAAATGTAAAATTTAAAACATTAGGTCAATATTCTAACTTGGGCATCTACATGAAAACAAGTCATGTCACTTACATTTTAGCAATACAACTTCAATTTTTCAAATATTTTACCAAACATAACAATTCTAATTGTAACTTATAGGTCAACTAAGGTACCATGGACTGCCAATGTAGCATACTGTATCTTTGTAATATGTACATGGGGTAAGTATGAGCAGAGAATTGTGCTTTATTTTAGACCTCTATGAGAATTAAAAATAAAAATCACTATTATCAGATATATAATGTATATATAAGGGGGGTGTACAAGAAATATATATTTTACGGTTCTCTTGTAGTTTTGGGAAGAGAAGTGCAGCAGAAATATAAACATGTGACCTTAGATGTTGTGGTGTGTTTGATATCTCTGGGCTCCTTTATGTGCAGTATCGGGATAGATTTCAAATCACATAAAAAAAAATTATGTCCAAAAGATTGAAAATTGTCAAATCTTTCGTGTATGTCATATGTTATGAAAATTCATAACAATGATCATGGATCTCCATTAATTAGTTAGTGAATAAAATTGAATGGTTTTTTTTAAACAGTTATTGTCCTTTGAATAAATTTCCTATCATTGGAACTGCAGATAAACAAAACAAGGTGGTCCCACACATTCTGTCTTTAACAACAACATGCAAATAGCTTTTGTTTACCAAAGGTTTGGGTCCCTCTATCTCTGAGAATTCTGCTATAATAATAAAATCTTCATGTGTTCCGTATTTGCTATTTTGTTCATTACGCCATGGATTAGCAGCATTAAATGTTGGTAATAAATAAGATGGTGGATAAGACATATTTCCATCTCCTTCAACAGCCTCAGTCTGACCAAAATAACTGGCTACCTGAGCATATTCTCCAAACATGTTTAATGGTATTCATATGGAATCTGGAATTTACGAGGAAATATCACTGATTAAATATTTAAATTTAAGAGACCAAATATTATTACACAGGACTAATCATCTTAAGTTAATTGTGCCATATGAATTAGTAGCGTGCTGAAAGCACCTGCAGTGCAGATTATTGTAGGCCTAGCTAATAGAGGCAGTAAAAAGTTGCCCATTAAAATTGACTGGGAACGCTTTTAATGTTGACAAGGATTCAATAGGACGGTTCCTGTGACCTGAACCTAGGCTACATGGCTACAGTACAGGGCGAGTGTAATGAGACATACGTTCTATACTATTCAAAAAAAGTAGGGGATATTTGATTTTGGGGGCATAATACTAAAATATGCAAATGACTACGAAAAAAGTCACTATAGAACCTAACAGAAGAAACATTTCCAGTTACATGTGACGCCCAAACGCACCAATAGCTACCGCATGGAATGCAGGTGATGCTTGGGATCATCATGGGGGTCCAACCCAAGATTTGCACGACTCTGACTTTGAATGTTACAGTCATTGTGGCATTGAATTCCAGGGTGGAAACATCAGTTTAATTGTTTTAGTGACCAGAAAACAAATTTTGATATGCGTCGGCTTACCCAAAATGAAAGGTTACGTGCCCTTGGCATGCTACAGATCGGCACAACACAGGCGGTTGTGGCGAGGACGATGAATGTTTCTCAGTCTGTCATAAGCAGGCTATGGTCCAGATACCGTGATACACAATCTGTACAGGACAGACCACGCTCAGGTCGACCAAGGGCGACAACTCAAGCCCAGGATCGATTTATCCGTACCTTGGCCTTGAGAAATCGTGTCATCACAGCCAATCAGATCAGCGCTCGTCTTCAAACAGACACTGGTGTGAGAGTGAGTGGCCAGACGATTCGGAATCGACTGCATAGGGGTCACCTTCGCGCCCGACGTCCTCGCGTGATCCCTTGTTTGAGAGATCATCACATTCAGGCAAGACGTCGTTGGTGTAGGGATCGTCAACACTGGGATAATCGACGCTGGAGCAATGTGATGTTTTCAGATGAGTCAAGGTTCACTGTTGATTTTTTGGACAGACGTAGGAGGGTGTGGCGTCGTCGAAACGAGCGCTTCCAAGACGTTAACGTCATCAGACATGATCGATTTGGGGGTGGTTCTGTTATGGTGTGGGGAGGCATCACTGTTGCTGGAAGAACGGCTTTACATGTTGTTGCAGGGCGTGTTACAGGCCAGTACTACCGGGACAACATCTTGGCAGTCCATGTTGTGCCGTTCGCACGACGTCATGGCCGCCGTTTCATCTTCCAGGATGACAACGCAAGATGTCACAGGGCCAGGATCGTTACAGGTTACCTCCAACAACAGAACATCACCACATTACCTTGGCCAGCACTGAGTCCCGACCTCTCCCCCATCGAGCATGTCTGGGACATGCTTGGATAGAGGTTACGTCAACGTCAACAACGTCCTGCCAATGTCCAAGAACTTGCTGCTGCGTTGCAACAGGAATGGGACAATCTGGACCAAAATGACCTTAGACGTCTCATTAGGAGTATGCCACGTCGGATCAATGCTTGTTTGGCAAACAGAGGAGGATTTACCCGTTACTGACTTGGTTGTGATGCTGTGGTAACTTTGCTGTTTGACCCCGGGTATCATTTTACCCTTATAATGGTCAGTCTGTGCCTTACTTAGTCTAACGTTCATTTGGAATAAATCGATGAATGTGAACTTCATTTCATTTTGTCATTTGTTTCTTCGTCAGTTTCATTAGGTGACTTTAATAACACTTAAAAATCAAATATCCCCTACTTTTTTTGAATAGTATATATATATTATCATGTCACATTAGTTATATGACCATCTATGTGTCTTGCATTATTCTTATTTCTAAAATAACAAACTGAAAATACATGTTCTTAGAATTACTGGATATTCTAATTTGAAAATACTGGGAGCTGGATCTGAGACATGTCACATGTACAACTTGTAGTGGGCTAGTTACAATAAAATGCCTGCGTCTGCTGGCTCCCAAAATTTAACAGTCGTCCATGATACGGTTATGCATTTCGGAGTAATGTATGATAGATCTTTAAAAATGTAATGTTAACATCATCTTATATAGATAGTCACATCTACACGAAACGTACATTTATACACTCTTCATAGCAGAAGTGGCCTATGAAAAAGATACTAGACAGTCTAAAATAATGTTTCGTGAAGAAGGATCATAACAGATCAAAGCGCCACCTGTCTGTATAAAAGTTTTGGACATGGATCAGCCTGCAGTGAACGGTATACTTGATTGTTTCTCATCGCTTTTAAAAAACTTTACTGCAAATACAGATTACGTGAACCGATTTAACCCACGTCAACTAAATAAAAGAAACCAACATTCGATGATAATCGCCAAATTCTTTATTATATCTCCACTGATACGAGATTTATTTCAATGTTCGACTTTCGTCGATGGTGGCCACGTTTCGTGTTTATTTTAACTGATCTAGTTTGCGGACTTGGACTTTAATGAAGACCGGAATGTCTGAACGACAATGGGGGCTAATTTGGCCAACGTAATCAACAAAGACCGAGTATTTTAGATGGCAAAGGATGTGGACTGTCAGAAACGGTATTTCTATCTTCGACTTTCGGTCGATGCTGGTCATGATTCGTGTTGGTTTTTACTACTAGTCTAGTTAGTAGTTTGCGGACTTGGACTTTAAAGAAGACCGTAGGGCCTATGTATTTCCCGAACGCCAATTTGATGGGGGCTAATTTGACCAAAGTTTAAATAACCTTTTAAAGGCCGAGTATTTTCGATGGCAAAGGATGGACTGTCACAAATCTTGAAAAAGATTTAATTTGCTCGGTGTTTGGTTGAATTTTTTCCGGCAGCTGTCTAGCCGTTGTTCAGATGGTACGAAAAACCGAGGTCCCGTGTAGCCTAGGCCTACACATTGGTGTGCACGTAAATGATCCCTTGGCAGTTTGATATAGAAGTAGGTTGTAGCACCACTGTCCCGGCAGTATTTCCCTCATAGCACACTCAGGCCCGTAACTGGGACGGGGGAGGGGGTGCAAAAAGTCCCCCCCCCCCCCGTGAAAATGTCGACCATAAAAAACAATAGATATACATTGTCCGTCAATTTTACAGCACCCCTGAGAACACTTCCCACCTAATAACAAGCTTTATAGAATACTAAACTTCATTTCAGATACACACCAATTCAATCTCTAATGGATAAACAAGCACATACAAGAGATTTTGGTTCATTCCACTCTTCAAATGTCCAAGAACTACTGGCTTTATCAGAGGTAATACCCTCACCCCCTTCCTTCCATTCAGTCCTGTATCCGATTTGTAAACTAACTGAATCTCTAAACTAAAGATACATGTATACATGTATTAGCACTTTGGGGGTCCTTGCTGATTTGATTACAGTTAGTCTATTTACGTGACAAATTGTTTAGTGTTTTTGGGGAGTTTTTTTTGTTTTTGTTTTTACTTTTGTAAATTCTTGTGAAAAAGGTATTAGTTTGAAAAAGTCACTATACTTATTTCGATAATTAGTCACGTTTAAGTTTATTGACTCTAATTTAGTAGTGCATCAATATAAGTGGAAATGATAATATATTATCTACAATTCTACATAGTCTAATTACCTAATTGTTTATCACAATTTAGAAATCTTTCTTTGACTTTAGGATGAATATCGTCCACCTAAATATCCTTTTGATTTACCAAACTTTCATGGTTTATCAAATATTGTTTTTGACAAGAATATAAAGGAGACGTATTTTATGTTAGAGGTAAGAGATTTAATAATTACGTAATCTTAATCCTCGGAAAATTACAAAGAAAAGAAGAGATAAGGAAATTTGAATAATAATAATTATGAAAGAATCTAGAGTCGTCCCACCCCACCATGACAAATTATGGATGTAAGATAGTAGCTCCTGTCACCCAGACGATTACTGTATACTATGTCAACTTTCAATTCAGTAGTTTTTATCTTATGGGAGGAATAAACAATGTCCCGTGTATGTCATTGACAGAAACCGAAATAAGTGTAGTACACAGCTCACTTCATGGCGTATGCTCGTTTTCTTTTTGTGCAGAAAAGAGATGATGACATTAAACCAAGTTTAATTTCCTATGTCAAGATATTAAATGATTAAACCCCGTTTAATTTCCTATGTCATAATATTGACAGGATTAAACCCCGTTTAATTTCCTATGTCAAGATATAAAAGCATTAAACCCTGCCGGATTTGAGAATTTTCTGATTGCTGGAAATGTTTTTGACACAGCCCAAAATAGATTTTGTTCTAAACTTGTTTTAAAATGTCTTCTTTGTGATTTGTTGATTTCGCCTTTGGGGTTAGCACGGAAGGCTTGCCGCTGGTGGGTGTATTAGGAACTCCATAAGTTTGTGTTTAGACAACATTAATATATCATGAACACGTAAATTATTAACCTTCCTTTTAACAATGACCTTTTAATGTGTCCATCATATTTCCCCATACACTTATGAATAAAGATTGTGTATTATTATTTGTTGTTATATATCTTTGAAGGGTAAGTGTGTGTTTCTAAACCATGGAGCATTTGGAGGTGTTCTGAAACCAGCACAAGAAGTAGCACAGGTAGTATTATAAAGACGAATAGTACTAATATATCAAATATTCCGATACACATATGTATTGTATTCTAGCAGGAATTAACTACATGCTTTTTTAAAATTCATTTTATTTCAAAATAGTCAATCCTTACCGTACAATAGAATTTGTGGATTGTCTCTCTTGTTGTGGGTTTATTTCATTTTTGAGTAGCGTGTATCAGCACAGGCCCGGAACTGTAAAGGACAGCGGACGCTTACTGCTGGTCCCCTCTTCCATTCACTTGAATTGATAATTATACTTTTGTTGTTTATTACTTATAATGTTTGTGTATTGTGTGTCTTGTTCGCGGGGTTGTCTTATGAGTGTTTGTTTATGTGTGGTATGATCACCCTGCACTTACTATTAGTATAGTTATGTCACTGCTTATTTTTTCTCGAAGAAAACGTCAAGAGGCTAGAATTGGCGGTGATGATGTTTGAAACGAATGGTATTGATTTGTTCCTTATGTCTGCTAATATTTCATGAAAGAGATCCCAGCCCTCTCCGAAATAAACGCACCCCCCCCCCCCCCGCAGTAATAAGTACCCGTTACCTCATAAACACTTATGCACATTCTAACATGACAATCCGGTGGTGTGAGATAAGATACTCTATAACGATGTTCTTGGCAAACACGCCGAACAATCACCTCTATTTTCTGAAATCGTTTCAAATAAAGCCAAATATATCATATGCTCATATCACCCTCATCACAAACTAGATCTTTTGACAGTTTATTTTTAACCCGAAAGCCTGCTAACTGCAACTATTTGCAGGCCTTCCACTTATAAGTCACAGATAAACTTCTAAATCCTCGTCGTATTTTACCCCTGTCTATGACAAAATACTGTTATTTGCCTTTTCATGCTTGAATGCTTTGGACCCATACCTATCCTCCCGAGCTTACCATAAACACACAAGAAATCCGCGATCCTCTATCGATACATCATTACTTAATACAGCGTTCCTATACCTTATTATTATAGTTACCGGTCATTCTAATAATTTGTCCACCAAAATATGCCCCCATTCCACATCCACAATTACAACCCTGTAGAATTTCCAACAAATTAAAGGGCGTAAAGCTCTAACTCAATGTTATCCAGACTTTTCGACATTAAAAACACGATTTATTGGTCGATTCCAATAATAGTGATGTTGTTATCTTACTGTGGACATATGGACTCCTTATATCCAGTATTTAAGACACATTAATGTGTTTTTCTTGACCCAATTTCTTCCATTTTAGGTTCCAACAAAATAGAGATTATAGCTCGTTTAAGTATTCGGCGCTGTTTTTAAATATAGGGTGTAGCCTAAAAAACTGTTACCGTAAGCCCGATGAAGTTAACATATTTGATTGTTGCTGAATTCAAAAAGAAATACTGATTTTCATTTTCTTTGTTTTGTTTTTTTAACTTTTAGATTGCAATTTAAAATGTCAAGAATAGTATAACATTGTAAATAAATGGAAAACTAAAATAGCATTGTAAATAACATTGAAAACAAGAATAACACTGTGAATACCAACATAGCATTGTGAATAGCATTGTGAATATGAACATCTCAAATGGCATTTTGGCTGTGCATAATTATGTTAAATGCCAATAACACTGGATTATATTGAAATAAAATGAAATTGAAAGAAATGGTATTTAACATCCTACTGGTCTTTTACGTGCATGTTTTTTTGACCATCCGATCGACTAGATACTGTTCCTGCCCCACTGACAAGAGGAAACCACGCTACAAAAATCCAGAGAAACTTTCATGGCCAGCACCCTGCTGCTGTTGGCGTATGTTTCCTTGCCTACCAACCTTAGCCTTGTATTCATACACAGTCTGTAAAGTGGTTGAAATCATACATAAATCTATTGAGAACCATTAATGAAATTAGCCGGAGGAAAATGTTGCATTACCAAATGATATGTTTATAGTCGTGACATTAATCTACCCCATTTCAACTTTTCTGCGTACTTTGTTGACCGGTGAAATGGCGTTTAATTTTCATATTATTCTAACATCGTTGTACTCCGTTTTTGTTCAAAGTTCTTACCTATTGGTCCGAGTATAAAGTGGAAAACTTTTTGTGGAATGCTCAGGAAACCATTAAGTGTTGTAAAAACAATCTTCACATCGAAGCAAAACAGAGGGTATACGAAGCCTTGCTGGATTTGATTACTTATTTAAAAATAGGGAGCCACGGTGACTAAGTGAATAAGGCTAGTCATAGGGTCCCGGATTCAAGCCCGTCGAGGTTTCCCCTTGTTAGTGGTGCAGGATGTTGGGCCTGGTGAGGAACAACACCTAGTCGTTCACGGGGCGAACACTGAGGCCCCGTGTACACGTTGAGATGTAGGTAAAAGAAACCTTAACATTTGGAATTCGATGAAGAGCATGGTGTATGCCCGTCTTCATTAATTATCCTTATTGGTGCAGAAAAGCAGGACTTTAAATTCCATTTCATTTACTTAAAAATAAAACTTGCACACACAACAGAGATGAACAATGCCACAGCACACATTATATAGAACATAATCCTATCGAAAGTTCTGGACACGTCCTGCCAGGATAATATGATTTCCTCATCTCTATATTTGATACCATGCCTTTCCGTTTTTCCCAACCAGTGGTAAACTCCTTCTGCAGGCACTGTTTCCGTACGGTGATAAAGCGACACAGCAACGACAGAAGCCACAACAGATACAACCTTCAAACATAACATTGTGCAGACATAGACGCCTAAAATACTAATATTTTCTGAAACTTCCGGTAACAATTCTGATAGAGCAGAAAGTATGACAGAATAGGCCAAGAGAATCGAAACTGGCAGAGAAATCTTTTCTCCGGATTCAGCCGGAACCAGGAAAACAACAGGATTCAAAACCACTAAAAGACAGATTGGTAAAATGATGGTCAGTACGTAAAACAAAGGGTATCTTGATAATGTAATCTGGAGTGTTATTCGTTGTTGCTGGTAGTCATATACGAATTCTTCAGTGGTCAAAAAATGCTCCACGTTCCATGTGCCACTGGCTTCATACAGAATCTGTTCTTGAGTACCTTTCTTTAATAGTCTCACCTCCCACGCCTTACTTGCCCATTGTACCAAATTGATGGAGCAAATCTGTGTGTCGAATGGGAAGTTTCCTAGGTTCATCTTACAGCGTGTTTCTGTTGTTCTACCTACGTACCAAATTACTGTGCCGTTGCTATAAACAGAAAGTCTGTAATCTCCAGGTGTTAAGATGCCGGATTGTATAGACATACTATTTTCAATGTATAAATCTGGAACCCATATCCTTTTAGCGGGAATTGTAATATGTTCGATCTCGTCATACTCACTCTTATTCCATATCAAAAGATCGTCTTTCCAAATCAACTGAAACAAAACTGTCGCTGCCATGGTCTCCGAAGATGCTTCTAGTTTTCTGATAGCTTGTAAGGCAAATCGAGTTTCAACATTCACAGCTGCTGATGCGTTTATTATTGGTCTGACATCAGGATTATAATTTTCGAATATTTTCTTATACAAGCTATTGATGACGGTATCTGTACAAGCTGACATTCCTATTAAACCCAATATTAACATAATTAGCAACATCTTTTAAAAAGAATGGACATACGTCTATTCTAACAACCTGATATAAACTGTTTTATTTTGTAATCTTCGAGAATTTCCGTCAATCCCCTGGTATTATATCTATGATTAATGTTACATATTGATTAATTAATAGCCATTAGATACCGAACAAAGTAGAAGCTACCACGATGTATAAACTTCGTGATCTGTATAGATAATAAACCGGTGAATTTATTCAATAATGGATGTAATATTGTTTAACAATACATTAGTTTGATATAGATTTCAATACATGGGACATGGTCAGATCGAATTGTCTTTGATTGAAAGTGAAGCCAAAGCGGTATTAATTATTACGTTGAAAATAGATACATTAACACAATTAGGCCATACTCAAAAAGAAAACAAATATAGAAAAAATGGGTTTTTTTATCATCAATTCCAACTTAAATTGAGCGCAGCCCCTTAACGTTTCAAAATTTTGCAAAATAACCTAACGCTCGCTTGCTGTGTAACTCATGTATTTATTTAATGCACAAACTTTTTTTATTTTGAAAATATCTTCTTTTTTTAAATACTAATTTAGAAATGGCAAATATACGCTGAAAGACAACCATTACGCTTCTATGACAGAGAACTACTGCCATTATTAACAGATGTAACAAGATGTCTCGCTAAATTTATAGGTAAAGTTCCGTTTTATTTGGTTTTACGTTACAGAGAATAATTTCGATAAATCAAAATAGGATCTGTGTCACTGGCATTCTACAATAACGTTTTTTCGGATTTCTGAATTTACCACAAGTTATGTCGATTTCATTTCTACATGAAGCCTCTTCTAAACTGCCTTTAAAATACACTGAACCCTTCCTTTGAGTCTTGCAATATGAGATGAACCCATTTAACCACTATTAGTAGTCCTGATAAACTTAATCTGTTCCATACAATTGAAATTTCTGGACCACTTACTACTTACTGGTCTATCTTGGTATAGGGATGTGCACTTTAGCGATATTCAAAATACAATGCCCAATGTCCGAATTTAACGATAGCATTAACGACAACACGCCATTCCAGTCAGTTAATATCAAAGGAGTGATTTGCTTATGTGTAAAAAATGTTTCTCTTACTGAATTCGTAGTGACAAAATGAATTTTTTTCTGATTATAATGTGATTTCAGATTGTGATCCAACTGACTTGGTATTAATTAATAACGCTACAACAGCCATTAATACAGTTATCCGTAGTTCCTCAATCAAAACTGGTGACGTCATTCTTATATTAAGTATAACCTATGGTATGTTTCATTAACCGTGTCTTGGCTTCATTTTGTTTTATTTTTAAAATAGTTAAGTCTACTAATTCCTTCTACTCTCCCAGTCGAGCTGGGTAGTTGTTCACCCTCCCTCTACCCACTTTTAGAGCTGTATCACCAACTTGAGCCGAGGTGGTTATTGCTGTTATTTGCATGATTGCTTTTGTTTATTTCTGAGTTTTCTGGTAATATTATCGCCCATAATTTAAAAGACTTCAACACTGAGTTTTTCTTTTGAGATTTGTGTATTTTTTTTAAAGACAATCGTCTACTTTGGTTTGCTGTATATGATAAGTATTCTGTTTACAGGGGCTGTTAAAAAGTTATTAAAACAAATAGTTCTAGAAACAGGCGCAGTTTTAAAAGAAATAGAAGTGACATTCCCTGTAACAGGAGAACAGCAGGTAGTTATTAAGTATTTATGAAGCAGACTTCAAGGCCAAATTTCACCTGAAATAATCAGTCAGTTTGCACACCCCCTTATAACCGAGACACTCATAGGCAATAGCTATCACCACTAAATAATAAATTACATCTAGGGTTATGGCATTTGCTCACCTTCTGATTTTTAAGGTTTTGATTTTAATCTATATAAAAAAGCACAGTGTACCAATGTGTATGGTCTACCGGTCATGGGTATGTTCTGTTGCCTGACAACGTTTCTTTTAAATTAAAAACTGATTTTTCGGAATGTATTAGCTTTGAAATATTGTTGCTCCTCTGAGGGAAAAATTTTGTTGAATATCCCGGATATCTTTTCAATCAACAGAATCATAAACATGTCATTATCGCTAAGTACGTCTTGCTTGCAGCTAAGTTCGTGAAGATGATTTAGTGGTAAAACCAACTAACGCTCGAATTATTATATTATAGTTAATTGACCTGGTGGAGAAAGAAATAGTTGATGATAAAATAAAGTTGGCTATATTTGATCACATACCTAGTAATACACCGATTATATTACCTGTACAAGAACTTATCAAGCTTTGTCATTCCAGGTAAAATAAATATAAATTATTCCATATTTAATACACATAACTAGAGAATTTACATAGGCCAGTCCTGTTAAACAGCGTAACTGTACTTCTCCTGATTAGACCAGACATCAATGCCATCTGCATACATTTAACTACCTTACTTCTATCTGTATACATTCACTGCCCTTCATATGAGAAAGGGAGACCAAATCTTTGACAAATTATTGTAGTTAGTTTCCCTTGTTTATAATATCTTCAGTGATACCATTTATTATTATTATTATTATTGTTCGATTTATATAGCGCTTCATTACACATGAGTGTTTCTAAGCGCATTCACAACAAAACAGTTCAAAAACATTTTTGAAATAAGTAGGTTTTTAAGTTAGTCTTAAAGCTCTGGATGGAAGAGGACTCTCTAAGAGTTTTTGGAAGATCATTCCACATTTTTGCTGCTTTGACGGAGAAAGCATATTCACCAGAACGCTTATTATATTTGGGGATCCTCAATATGCTACGATCACTTGAAGAACGAAGGTTGGATCGCTGGGGAGTATAGAAATCAAATAGTTCTTTTAAATAACTGGGTGCGGTGTCAGAATAAATTGATTTAAACACATTCACAAGAGCTTTAAATTGAACCCTCGCTCGAACTGGAAGCCAATGGAGTTTCTGTAACTTAGCTGATATATGATCAAATTTTCGTGTTTTAGTTATAAGACGTGCAGCATTGTTTTGCGCTATTTGTAGTCTGTTTAAAGCTGTTTCTGGTGCTCCTAAAAGAAGAGAATTTGCATAATCCATGTGCGATGTTACTAATGCTCTAACAACACTCTGGCAAGCATCAGTATTAAGATTAGAGCGTATTCTCGAAATAGCTCTCATTTGATGATGCATTTTTCGTATGATACTATTGATTTGGGGAACTGGGGACATAAATTCATCAGTAACATAGCCGAGATTTTTAGCCTGCTTCTTGGGAGATATAGAGCAATCACCGATCTGAATGGAATCCGCTTTAAACAATTTACTGGATTGTGATTTTGATGATATGATAAGAAATTCAGATTTGTCATCCTTAAGTTTTAGCTTATTTCTGGTCATCCATCCTCGAATGTCATTAAGACAAGACTCAAGTCTACTGATAGAATCCTTGGAAGCAAGATAGTTGTTGTGTTGAAAATAGTCATATATTTCTGTGTCATCAGCAAAGCCGTGGTTTTGTACCCCATGTTTACTTATGATTTGACCAATCGGAAGAATGTATAGAAGAAAAAGTAGAGGTCCCAATACAGATCCTTTAACCATCCATGATATACATTATGTTCTGGTTAAACTATCATTTCAGGAACATAAAGGTTTTAATAGATGGGGCCCACGCACTTGGTAGTTTATCTTTAAATCTGAAGTCTTTACATGCTGATTTCTATGTCTCCAATGCGCATAAGTGGTTTTGTTGCCCGAAGGGTGCTGCTTTTCTCTATGCCAAACCTGTTCACCAGACGTCTACGCGACCTTTAGTTATATCCCATGGTTTTGGTTCTGGCTTTAATTCAGAGTTTATCTGGTCAGGTTTGTTATCTGGAGTTTTTCTTACATTTTAATTTAAAATGACTGGATCGCGGCTATAAACCAGTGTAGCTTGATTGTTTCTCTGCAGAACATTTAATACAAATGATAATCAGACCCTTAAAGAAAAAACAACCTAAAAAACACAATCACATTAAACATGCATTCTGTCAGAGCTAAATCTGTCAATTGCAGGCCTTTCTTTGAGCCTGAAATGGCATCTAAGTTATTGATTGGACATTAACTAACTCATCGAGACCATAATCAACTCGTTAGACTGCGATATTTACTGGATTTGAAAACATTTTGTGATGGATAATTTAACGTAAAAATGGATAATCGAGACTTTGTTATCACACCAACGTCAGTAATGGCGACCGGGACTAGCCTAAAATTCAATGGCTAACATCTCGGTTCAGAGTCAAGCAATTTGAAAGAAATTTTCAGCATATTTTGTTTTCATTATCTATTTTTAACTATTATAGCGAGAACTGTCAGCTCTTTATCTAATCTTACCTAATGCCCCTTTAACCTAAACTTAAATGTTTTTTTGTCTTTATTATGGACCAGACAAAATATAGTGTACGTGTAGAAGAATCTGATCTTATACCGTTATGTTCTATATTGCAGGGTTACACGACTATAGTTCTTACTTGGCATTGCTAACAGTTATAGAATTTTGGGAAAAAGTAGGGTTTGAAAAGGTTCTCAAGCACAATCAGGATTTAGCCAAGAAAGCAGGTAAATTGTAAATAATTAAGTAAAAACTATTGCATGATTTGCATGATAAGAATTTTAATCTGTTAAAACAGCAATTCCTGGAATGATGATCTTTATTTCACGACATTTCTCTCGCCATAGGTCCCTGTCCGACTTATTTTATGCTGTATCTATATTTTTTACAATTGTCAGGTAGATTATTATGTAAGGCTTGGGACACTGAACTAATGGCACCAGAAGAAATGTTTGGTAAGTACTATACACTTACTATGAAATGAAATGGGGTTTAGCGTCCTACTGTTCTGCTCCGACTTGAGTAATGAAAACGGACGTTGATATGACTGACAAGAATTTCACCAAGATTTCTGTCGTGCATATACTTTTTACCAAATGTCGTTCTCCATTGTCTAAATTTGAAGTATTTCTGCAGTAAACAGAACGTCATCTATAGTTCAGATTCGCCAGTGTTTCATTTGCAGTTTTTTATACGCGCTTCAAGCCACTGATGGTCA